AATTTCCAAAATTTTGAAAATTTTTCGAGATATTCAAAAAAACTAAAGCCCCATTTTTTTTCACTCAATTGTTTATAACTTTTGTAATTTTTTTCAGCGCCTTTTCGGGCCTTTCCTTAAACTTTCTAGGTAAAAATACTAATCCAATGACACCTTGATCGTAATTTTTGGACCCATCTGTAAAATTTCACAAACAAAAAGTACATGTGAACGAGACTACACGAGACTACAATACCGAATTGATGTTCTTGGACTTTTATCAACCGTGTCACAATTTGCTTTGTTAGTGGCATTTGAACGGCTTGTTGTTTGGCGACCAGTGTGTTTACTGTGCACAACTGATCCAGTTCTCCCGGATTTTTCAGTTGATCTCCTCACATTTAATGAACTGAAAATACTATTCCACCTTATTTTGTAAGAAATTTTCGAACTGCGGCCGTCAAACTTTCATTATTTTAAGATGATGTTCAACAATAAAGACACGTTGCTTGATCGTACAACGCTCCATTTTCACTAACCATAAACTGTCAGCTGTCTAGGGTTGCCAATTTGTTACTGTACAAATGGCGGTAAATTCAAATATTGCGTTAATTCTGGCACCTTTATTAACGCTTGGGTAGAAACTGAAATCAAAGTGACTACTGAGATACAAATAATGTAAAAAATAGTCCCTTCAAAAACCCATTTATTCTTCATATTGTACTCAACCAACGCCTCAAGACACGACATGGGAGGTATCTCAATAAATTTAATTCTAGATTTCCTTAAGAACTAGTAGCCAGCTGTAAAAAAATTGCTATCAGAAATTTTGAAAATTCTAAGAATAATAAAAAAACCATAAACCCAGGCTGTGGGTTAGCCGGCTAACAGGTAATTTCATATTTATATCCGCATAATAAAACGAGACTAGTGAAAATTGATATTATTGATGGTAGCGTTGAAATCGATGCATTTGCAGGAAATTCTTATCTCTCCACTGCAGATAACGATGTGGATGACTATAACCGCATGTGATTTATAGATCTTTTGTGTGTAGTTCGATACATAAATCGGCCTAATGAAATATGAATCATAACTAATTAAAAACATGCTCGTACGATAGATTTTAAAATGACTTGATGAAGTCAACCTGGTTTTGAATTAGCAGGATATGAATCCTGAAACTCTTAGTCTAGCAACTTCCTTGGCTGAAGAGTCGGCAATGCCAACCCTTTAATCCACCTCGGGATAATGTTATTATCTACCGAGGCTTTGGCTAAATCTTGGTGACATTCTAGTGCTATTCCTGAGGTAACACGTTGTCTGTTCAAGGCTTATAGGGCTTGTCTGCTCAATCCTTAGGCTTAGTGATCTGGAATACACTCCACATCCTGAGCCTTCTTCAGTTTTTGAGCGTATTGCATTTGTAGCATCTGACTGATTTTGTAGGGTTTATTCAACACAAACCTGGGTATAATTGCGTCACTGGTTGCCTGCAGCAGAGGTTGCGCAGTAAGTGCTTCTCGCCATAGGCTCAGCCTCAATCGACCCATTCCTACTTCGAGGTTTACACCAGCCATGCGGAATCGTAACATGACCAATAACGCAAACTCCTTAACGTTCAGGTCCAAAGGGGTCAGATCAGTAATTAATTCCATTGCTGCGGTTGGTGTTGTTCTTATGACTCATGTGATGTTTGAACAATCCAATCGCTGTATTTCATATACTTTTTGGATGGCGTTGCTTGCAGAAATTTCGGTCCCCATGAAATGGCTCGGACGTTAACATAGGTCTTATTATTGCAGTGTAAATCCAGGTGACCACACGGGGTGAAAGACCCCATGCGCGTCCCACTGTCCTCCGACATTGCTCACAAGCCACATATGGTCTTTTTTCTCTACTCTGTAGGTGAGAGTTCCATGTTATCTTCCTGTCGAGGATAGTACCAATGTATTTCACCTCTTCAGAGAAGTTTAGTTTCCTTTTGAAGATTTCGGAAGGTTTTAAGCCCTATAAAGTTTTTTCCTGGTCAAAAAGACCGTCTCAGTCTTCTTGAAATTGATCAACAGTGAGTGTTCCTCACACCATGTGTCTATTAACTTGAGCCCATCCTGCGCTCTATCGCACAGTGTGTTCACAAATATGCCGGTCTGCATGATAACTATGCCATTTGCATATGCAATTGTGTAGAATCCATTATTGTTGAGGTGAGTAATCAGGGTTACCAGAACTATGTTCCAAAGAAGGGGTGATAAGACCCCTCCCTGTGGACATTCTCTCATGTTGTGGAAGGTTTTTCGAGAGATGCAGAAATTTTCATAGATGAAGACAGAATTCCTGATAGTTTACTACATTGTCCTTAAGTTTGAGTATTGTTCCTTCAACAATTGTAAATTGCATCCAATTTTTAGTATCTTTTGCTAACTGAAAAAATAAATACATTTGAGTCCCACCTATGAGATTATAAAAGAGATTTTCATTTTCTAAAATATATATTGAGTGAAAGAAACACTTACGTCGAAGTGTTCCTCGCAGCAGTAATATGCATATCTTTCCGATGATGATTTATATCCGACAGAATGAACCATAGAGATCTTAGAGTTTTGTTTTTTGGAACACTGAAAACATTTTTGCCTGGTATAGATGATCTGTTTCTACAACTAGGTATGAAACATATCTTAACCATTTTGTTAGTAGTACTGTTGAAATTCTATCCAAAAATAACCTGAGAAAATATTTTTTGCAATGTAAACTAATAGCACGAAATATGCAACAAAATAGACACCTGCCGAGACCTTCTTTTGAAGGTTTTGAAACCAACGCTCTTCAATTAGAAAATTGTAACAAACAAATCAAATTATAATTTCAAAAACTACACCTCACGATTTGATCTCCACAAACTTTATTTGAAAATGTATCATAACATGTTTTGCTAAGACATTAGCTTTTTTAAGTGATTTATACATCAAGTTATACATTAATATTTATATACTACAGGTAACCATAATTGAGACTACCTCCAAAAAATTACCTAAACCTCTACCTAAGGTACCTGTTCAATTATGATTAATAGCAGGCCATGACTTCGTATCTGAACATAACTTTCAATTCCTAGCAACTTTTCTCTTCAACATATTTCTATATTTTTTGAAATAAGGGTACTTTACTCTCGAACGAAATTTATATTTTTTGGCCTATTCTGTATGGTGTTTGTCATAAAGCTATTTCAGGTACACTTGGTATAGTTTTGGAACATGCACCAACTTTTGTGACGAATAAAATTTTCTGAGAAATCAATAATAAAAAAGTTTCTCATTTGTTGCAGACTTATTGGACCGCACTGTATAAAATTAATTTCACTATTTGCCTTATCTACTTGTCTTAAATTAATTTAACAGTGTGTCCTCATGTAATAGTCAGGTAGTTACCTGAGAAAGGAAGCATGAATTTGATTATCGAATCCTTAATAGACTAATTCTAGTTATCCCAAACACAACTGAAACAGTTTCTGAAACTTAGCATAACCATTATCAGTTTAATAAATTGTATGCATTAGGTTAAGAGTGTAAACAAATTCAAGAAAGGTCTCAAAGGGTTTTCATTTCGGATCAATCTGGAGAGAGATATTCATTCGCTACTTTATATAGAAACAATGAATGGTGAATATATATACAACCATTTGTATGAAATGAAATTTTATATATGTTGTCATGTTCTTACAACATATATAAAATTTTCGATACCTTTTAAAAATTTTCATATGAAAATTCCTAATCTGATATATTTTTCCATTTCAGTGTTGAGGCCCTCAAGTAACACAATGCAGCCAATCCAATGTGATAGAAAACCCTACATAAGCCCTCCACCGCCATCGATTCCGTCATCTCTACCGTCACCTCCTACAGCAAATACACCACACTCATATTATGAGTCATCTGTTAAATATAGTATGTAATTGATTTAGTAAATTTTTTTGTGAACTATACCCTAGAATATAATATAATTACGATGTCGTTAGGTATAGGTGAATTAGGGAGAGCAACAATGTAACAGCGCCCATGAAGAACTTTTTTTTTAATTTTTTGTAACCGGCCTGTTCTCTATTTGAATTTCTTCTGATTATTTATTCAATACCATTATCAATTGTTGTTTTCATGTACAACTTTACTGTAAAACTTGTCAATGACAGAATGCCTGGGAAAAGGATCAATATCATTTTGAAACTTTCTCCTGATTTAAACACTTCTCCACACCAGAACAAAAAAACTGTCTCGTGAAGCGCATTTCGCTAACCAAGATAGTTTCATTTAGATATGACTGAAAGACTAATTTTTCTAGGTATACTGATGGTTTCATTTGCATATAAATATTGATTTCAATTTAAGAGTCACCGGTAGACAGCTGTTTCAGCCTAGTGGGCATCGTCAGTGCCGGGCAGGCGGTCCTCGATTGAAGACAAAATGTGGATAAATTGATTAGCGAAATGCATGTCGAGCAATACTATTTTTCTTCTGGTGTAAGAAAAGGTTTTAAATAGATTCACTTTTCCCCAGAGATTCCAACTTTCACTCATCATGCATTTCTTTGCCGAAGTTTTGAATTTTATCAAGTTTGTCCCAGATGCTCCACGATAATAATTTCTTAAGGCAATGTACATCATACTTGCCAATATACAGTTATATTTAATGTTACCAATACAACCGACTTCAACACAAAAGTTTGTTGAAACCAATTTTAAAATAATTGGGAAGAAGATATTTGATTTTCTTACCGTTTATGACCTTGAAAATATCTGCGCGTCGTTTCTATGATTAGAAGCACATAATTATCCAACTGGAATCAGAATATTGACTCAACTATTCATTTGATAGAACTGCAATGGTCCAGACAACTTTCACACTGGCCAAGTTGTAGAGTGCTTTAGCAGAAATGATTATTATAAAAGTAGGAACAGATTCAATACATTCAATACAAATATAGTAACTGAATACAGCTGTGCTTTAATCGTTAGATTCATTTTGTGTGACACTATGAAGCGCTTACGATAACAATGCCGGTACAAACAAAAACAACACAAAGTCTATCAATAATACAAGAATTTGAAAGATAATAGAATCGGAAATCACCAATGTCTTGACACGGATATTATTAAAAATTTTAGAAATTTACAATTACTAAATGTCGGAGTCCAATAGTATTGTAGTTCAATTTTAATTGCAAAATTGTCAGAAAATACGGCTTCTGCTTTATGAATACTATTTATAATAAATCAAAATAGTTGCGTTACAATGAAACGGTGTTCATTAAAAAGATTATGAGCGATAAGAAACAATTTTGAAACAACCAATTGTAATGTTAAAAAAAAAAATTCAGTTTTTTTTTCAACTGCTAGTAATAATAAATCATTCAACTAAAATACTTACCTTGTAGATAGAGAACATGTCCTCCAACACTACTTCATTAAAATATTAATTACCAAGTTTTCAACAATCAAACTAAAATAAACTAACTCAAATAGAGAACATAACTCTTGAACAATAGATATGAATATAACAACTTTAATCGAAAATTCACTTTGACTGTATTGTAAATTGGATCCATCCATGTTGTTGAAGCAGCTATTATGGTGTGGTAAACACAATTGTAGCTTGTATCGATACAAAATAGCAAGTGCATTAATGAAACAATCGTGAAAATGAAATTCATTAAAATAATGACAGGAAAATTTCATTTATATCAGATTTGAAAATTGAAGTCGTATTAGAGAAGAAAGTCATTCAACCGTTCTGACAGTAAGTCAGATAGAATACAAATTTCGATCTCTAACAAATAAGTTCTTAGATAGAAACAATCAGAAGTTCTTCGAATGGTTGAAATATTCCAAATTCAACACTTTTGGAAGTTGAATTCATCCGTCAAAGGGCATTTTTTTACATGTCCCATGATGATTTCNTTGCGTTCATAAGGTTTGTTTTTGACTATTTTACGTACTGTTGAGAAAGGAATTTCGGTCAAGTCTGATGTTGCTTGTAATAGTTTGTTTTCCTCGAAACCAAACTTGAGATGTAGATTCTTATATAAGTTGAAACATAATCTCTGTGTTTCAATATTCAAATGCATCCAAATCTCATTCACTGGTATCTCTTTTTCGCCTTGTTCACCATCGCTATTGGAATCACTACACAGTGACTTCGAATTTAATTTTATGACTTCATGACTTCAAATTTAATGATATGACTCTTCAGTCACTCATAAAACTCGGTTAGTAGAAATCATCCAATACGAACCGCCAATGATTCAGTCCACGAGGACTAGTTGGCAGCGGCTTTATTTCTCTGTATTGGTTTTTTTGGCCTTTGAGAACGCCGACACTTTGAGTAAGTGGTAAAAAACAATTCTCTTTTTTTCATTATGCTTTCGTACCACATAGTAACGGCTACATCCATCAGTTTACTGTAAATGTATAATAGGTGAGATGTGAGTGCACTGAATATGTAAAATTTTTATTTCAACTAGAGGAAGAGGAATAAAATTCAATGTTCTGACATTCATTTCTGATATGAAAATAAAATAAAAATAACACCTCACTCCAGGTTGTGATTTTGTTCGGATCTTTTCCACTACCAAACCAAAAATATAAACCACGATTTGGATTTCATTCATAATCAGAAAAGACATTCTAGGGATTGTTGAAATTGGTGAATGATTTTTGCTTTTGAAAAATGTCAGCCAAATAGTGAATTCCGGATATAAGAAAGAATAATCTACTATTCAATGATCGCAAATGAACTACCATTGGAATTTTACGACTACATAATTTTGTGAAATGCATTTTTTTAAGTAATTTTACTTTCCTGACTATAATTACTGATAGAAGACTCGATATTATAAATTTCATGCAAAAAATCACCTTAATACCATCACTTGGAGATGATGCAACTAATTTTCCTTTATTTTAGGTATTTTAATATTGACATATGTCACAGAAAGGATATGAATCTTTATAACTTTTATTTATTATATGCGAGCGCTTTCGATAGCTGGTTGTGCTTGATAAAGTTCGAAACGTCGATGAACAATTCATTTTTTTCTCATGATCATTTTCCCAACCACTCTGTCATTTTAAGTAGTACTGTTTAGATTTTAGAACATCAAACCGTGAAGGAGTAACGTATTATGAGTTTAATCTATTTTGAGCTCATGATGGAGTTGTTTGTCGTCCTATACATCCCCCAATAGTATGACTAAAATAATTGAAGGGATAAATCATTCATCAGGAAGATCAACAAATTTTGACTTATGTTAGTATAGATGTCTTTTCTCAAGTCACACTTGCGAGTCATATGACATCAGTTTCAATCATTTCGTTAATAGTAAATTGTGCCAATTTTCATAAAAATAGCAAAGTACAAGAATTTTGATATTTTTGGAATGAGTTGAAAATTGACCGAATTCCACAATTTATTCAGATCTGTTGATGGAAATGAGAGTCATGCATTTCTCATTATTCAAATGAAGGAAAGTCACCAACAAGTACTGACTTGATGATTATGAAATTCATGTGACATAAATAGGTTGATTGTTATGAAGTGTAACAACGGTAATAGAATTATTATTTTAAGTTGTACCGAAATTTCGAATTGTACATAGACTTATATAAGCTAGAGTTTGTAGTATTGTTGAAGATACACATTTTCAAATAAATTATTGTTTTTATGTATTTATGTTTTAATAACCTTCAAACTAGGGTTGAAATCATACAGCTGGAATTACCAAAAATATTTGTATTTAAATTTTGAATTCAATTTACGTTTATGTCATCTTTTATTTATGTACAAAAATATACGTTTTTCCATACATCATGCATTTCATTTCCAAATCTGTACTTTTTTATGAGACACATCATAAGAAATGTGACCCAAATAGAACTTGACTTTTGATATGTTCTGATGTGTTCAAATGCTTACAAAAACACGTTCGTGTATGTTCAATTTCGTTCATGTGATAATGTGATGATATGTGATAATTTAATAAACTCATGAGACAGATCAAAGGCATCTGAAGAAAATACTTTTCCCATACCAAAACTAAAAAACTGTGTCTCTATGTGCGTTTTGCTAAGCGAGTTAATATTTTCGGGAGATGATCTCCAACTATTAGTACGAAAAAAATATTAGAATAATAATTATGAGAAATGCAGAATGCAAATTAAATCAAATCTGACTTGCTGATATTAATTCTTGTGTCTCTGCTATCCAATGTGATCCATTAAAAGTGCAAAATTGTGTTCTTTTTCATTACACCATCAAAAATTAGTACATTCTCAAATTGAAGCATATTCGTAGAATTTAACATTCGGTTGTCGGTTGACCCTGCTCGAACGGCTTCTTATTATACTGGTAAAATGGTATTTGATACGTGTTCGGAGGTAGAATGTCCATGAATGCTTTACTACGTACTACTTAAATGTTTTTGAAGTTTACCTGAGTTCTTCTTCTTCTTAGTTAACCTTATCTCCCCGTTAAGGTATCGAATGTTAAATCTGGAGTTCTCACGGATATGACTATGCTGAACTTCAGCATACATATGCTGATAGTATAGCAGCATATATATGCGAATTGGATTATGCTGCTATGCTATCAGCATGTATATGCTGCATAGCATAGCAGCATATATATGCGGATTGGACTATATTGAAGTGCAGCATAGTCCTATCCGTGAGAACTCCAGATTTAACATTGATACCTTAACTGAGAAGAAGAAGAACTCAGGTAAAATTCAACATCCCGTCTTCGGATAGCTTTCTCTGTATGATTTGGAGTGCTTTTTCGACCGGAACGTTGGTGTAAAGGCTTTCCACGTCGAAACTAATTAGTTTATCTTCCTGTGTGACCTCAATTGACTCTAGTAGTTCGATAAAATGCCTTGAATTCTTCACAATAGACGATGTTTTTCCTTATAATGGTTGTATTTAGGAAAGTACAAATCTAGACAAGTTTTGCGTAGCCGAATCTCTGGAGCTGATGATCGGTCTAAGTGGAACGTCCTTCTTGTGGATATTGGCCAGTCCATACATGTGAGGCGGCTTAGTTTGATGCGGTGTTAGCGATGTACTTTCGGACAAGGAAAGACGGGAACCTGAAAGAGAGAACGAGTCTACCTATAGAAGTGATTATGGACTTACTAGGATTCTGTGTACGAAACTGTTATTTCCAACTGAAGGACGAATTCTTCACACAAGATGAGGGACTGCTAATGGAATCGCCACTTTTACCAGTCATAGCCAACATATATATGGAGTGGTTTGAAACTCTGGCCATTGAAGAAGCCCACAAGAAACCTCGAGTCTGGTTGAGATATGTTGACAACACCTTCATAATATGGAACCAAGGGAACACTGAACTAGACGCCTTCCTGAAACAAATCAACAGTGTGAGATTCCATCACTTCCACAATGTTGAAGGAAATCCACAGAGAATTGCCATTCTCAGACGTTTTGGTGAAGAGGACCGACACTAAGTGGAAAACATCTGTATATCGAAAACCCACTCATACGGGACAGTATCTGAACCATGAATCCAACCACCGTCAATCAACTGAAAGAGGAATCATCAAGACTCTATTAGATTGTGCTTTCAGGCTCTGTAACACGAAAGAAGGTCTCGAGAAGGAACTAGACATCATCAAAAATGATCTTCAACGGAATGGCTACTCCAAAGCGATGGTAGAATATATATATATATATATAGCTTTCAGCTCCTAGCGAAACGAATATCGTCAGAAAAAAGGAGGAAAACCGAATAAAATAGCGAGATTTTCTTTTCAAACTCCGCAGATTCTATCCAGATCAATCTGACGAGATAGTGTTATTGGAGTCCTTGGTGGAATGATGTCCTTTCTACTGTCGAATATCAAAATCATTCCGGCTTGCTGCACTAAGGCAGAAGTCTCAGCCTCAGAGATGCAGAAGGCTGTCATTCTTAGTTCACTGCGCTTGTTTAGGGCACATGATTCTCGCACCCAATGATCACTTACACTACGGTGTGGGGAGTGATCAATGGTTGATAATGCTGGCATTCCCTCCCGAATGTATCGGGGCTTCGGGGGATAGGACCTGACCAGCGCACATATGGTGAAAAAGAAAAATAATAATAATAGTAGTAGTGATCCCGCGCGAAGAGGGTACATGGTGAGATTGCACGCTCTGTGGTGTGAAACACATCCGGAGCATGCCACCTTTTCCTTCCAAAATCGCAGGGATTACGCATCCTATCTTCGACGGCAAGGTTATACAGGTTGTAACTGAATAAGTGTGAAGAAACTTCATTGAAGTATCCCTTGTTAAGATACAGCCCCTTAAAGTGGATACATAAAATTTGTATAACAATTTTTTTCACAAGCACTGATAAAGTTACAATATTGAAATTAACCTGACGTTTTGTACTACCAAAAAGACACTTAGCCAGTAATTTATTTGGTTTACCCCATGGTTGTAAGGGTGGAAAACGCAACCCCTAAAATTTATTTCCGATGTAACTTTTAGTCGTATTATTTGTTTACCATCTGAATTTTTTTTTCCGATAGCCTGTTTCATTCGGAACAAAAAATTTCTCTTGAGTTTTTTGCCCAAAGTAAACCAGTTCGCAGCAAAAAATTATTTTACGAACAACTACAGAGATAGTTAGAACCTGCATTGAACGATTAAAGGGTAATGAACAAAACTAATACATTAATAGCAAAACACACAACATGTAGAAAGCCTAGTAAATGTTCAATATGTTTTTACCTTCAGACATTACGCATGCGTCTAGACGTCGGCGCATTGAGCCGCGTCTAGACGCATCGTCTCCACTCATCGATGATGCGGTTTCTTAAGTCCCCTACATCGCGAACAGGAGTACGATAAATCAAATGCATATCTTTCAGTTAAATGCTGACGTGCTACTTGAC